TTCAATACACTATCACTAAACATTAACCCAACACTTCAATACACTATCACTAAACATTAACCCAACACTTCAATACACTATCACTAAACATTAACCCAACACTTCAATACACTATCACTAAACATTAACCCAACACTTCAATACACTATCACTAAACATTAACCCAACACTTCAATACACTATCACTAAACATTGACCCAACACTTCAATACACTATCACTAAACATTGACCCAACACTTCAAAACACTATCACTAAACATTGACCCAACACTTCAATACACTATCACTAAACATTGACCCAACACTTCAATACACTATCACTAAACATTGACCCAACACTTCAATACACAACCACTAAACATTAACCCTGCACTTCAAAACACTATCACTAAACATTAACCCAACACTTCAATACACTATCACTAAACGTTATTGTAACTTACTTTAATACACTATCACTAAACATTGACCCAACACTTCAATACACTATCACTAAACATTAACCCAACACTTCAATACACTATCACTAAACATAAAACCAACACTTCAATACACTATCACTAAACATTGACCCAACACTTCAATACACTATCACTAAACATAAACCCAACACTTCAATACACTATCACTAAACATTAACCCTGCACTTCAATACACTATCACTAAACATTGACCCAACACTTCAATACACTATCACTAAACATTAACCCAACACTTCAATACACTATCACTAAACATTAACCCAACACTTCAATACACTATCACTAAACATTAACCCAACACTTCAATACACTATCACTAAACATTAACCCAACACTTCAATACACTATCACTAAACATTAAAACACTTCAATACACTGTCACTAAACCAACACTTCAATACACTATCACTAAACATTGACCCAACACTTCAATACACTATCACTAAACATTGACCCAACACTTCAATACACTATCACTAAACATTAACCCAACACTTCAATACACTGTCACTAAACATTAACCCAACACTTCAATACACTATCACTAAACATTAACCCAACACTTCAATACACTATCACTAAACATTAACCCAACACTTCAATACACTATCACTAAACATAAACCCTGCACTTCAATACACTATCACTAAACATTAACCCATCACTTCAATACACTATCACCTATCACTAAACATTAACCCAACACTTCAATACACTATCACTAAACATTAACCCAACACTTCAATACACTATCACTAAACATTAACCCAACACTTCAATACACTATCACTAAACATTGACCCAACACTTCAATACACTATCACTAAACATTAACCCAACACTTCAATACACTATCACTAAACATTAACCCAACACTTCAATACACTATCACTAAACATTAACCCAACACTTCAATACACTATCACTAAACATTAACCCAACACTTCAATACACTATCACTAAACATTAACCCAACACTTCAATACACTATCACTAAACATTAACCCAACACTTCAATACACTATCACTAAACATTAACCCAACACTTCAATACACTATCACTAAACATTAACCCAACACTTCAATACACTATCACTAAACATTAACCCAACACTTCAATACACTATCACTAAACATTAACCCAACACTTCAATACACTATCACTAAACATTAACCCAACACTTCAATACACTATCACTAAACATTAACCCAACACTTCAATACACTATCACTAAACAAACCCTACACTACGCTAATACTATTAACCAGGTAATAATATAAGAACACGGGCACCCTCCAACAGGTTTACTCACTAAAGTGAATTTAAATTTTAAGGCCGAAATTGTTGAACTGGAAAATGAATTCCAAGTCAGCTATGTTTTTAGTTCGGCTATTTTGACCTATAATTTGAAATTCACTATGAATTTACTTTTAATTCCTGAGGTAAATCCTTGATGGATAGATTCTTTCGGGTGCGGATTAAAAGGAATTTTAAAAGGAATCTAAATAATCTTAGAACTGTTTATCACGGAACAATAATTACATTTCTACTCAAAACTGTTTACTCTGCTGGTAAAAAATAGAGTCGCCAATAATTTTTTTATTTTACCCGCCAAGACCATCGCTTTTGTTGCCCTGCTTTTTCTGACAAAATATAAAATATACGGTATTTCGACTGCAAATCAAAAACCTTTCTTGTGTTTGTCTAAAACCAGAAGAATAACAAGTCATATGAATTCAAAGTACCTTATTTATATCCACAATAAGAATTGCTCTGTTAACAGCCAGCTGCATTGTATGAATCAAATATTTTACCTGTATAAGAACAATCGCAGCTAAGTAAGAGGTTGTTATTGGATTGCACAGCGTCAAACATTAACGCACATGTAATTTTTGCTGTTTTTACTTCTTGGTATTTTTGGGAATGAGGTCCTTAATATAAAATGTATTCAGGCTCTGTGCACACAGATGCACTTAACATCTGGCTGCCCTGATGCTCACAGATAAAACAAAAGTCAGCTAATCTTCACTGCAGGTTAACATTATTCTTTATTACAGTACGGCAAAACTGAAAATACATCATTCCCAGCTCTAGGGTCCTTTGGGTTGTAAAAGAAGAAAATTAAAGTGAAGTCATGTGGAATAAGTGTTCCCCCATTTCACTTTTCATCTCCTACTTTACCTTTTTTTCCTTATTCTGCCTTTGGAGATTTCAAACCAGCTGCATATAACACAAACCACAGTCCATTGTGTTTAGAATATGTTCTTCAAATCCAAACATTATCATAATATGGGAATTCTGAAAGACAGGTTTTCAAGTTTACAAAAAAAGTATAAATGCCTTTGAAATCAGAATGATGGGGTGGTTCAAAGAAAGGGTCACACACTCTGGTGCACATTAATGTTTTACATGTAATAAAAGCAAAAGATGCTGTAAGCTAAAATGCATACCATGGGGAAAACAGAGCTAGTCAATTAATTAAATTGCACAAGCAATGTGTACATCCAGCTAGCGCTAACAGTCAGGAACTTTACAGACTACTTTATTTATTTATTTTTGAAGCACCAAACCAAGCCCAATATGTATGCCTTATCTTATCTTATCCCGTAAAACCAAAGAGAGACAGTGTGAGTCTGTGTGTGAAAGTGTTTCACATTCTTATACAAACATGCTCTCTCTCAGAGACAGAGACAATCTCATAAATGCTATTTTGCAGCCGCTGTGGTCCACTTACATAGTGTAGCTGATGGTCAACCCACAAGTACTTAAGGAGCTAAGTAGGGAAATAAGTGAACCTCTGTATTTAATTTTTTAAGATTATTTTGTTTCAGGTATTTTACTGGAGGATTAGAGGAAGGCAGATGTTGTTCCTATATTTAAAAAGGGTTTAAAATCCTTGCCTGGATATTATAGACCTGTGAGCCTAACTTCTGTGACTGGGAAAATATTTGAAGAGCTATTAAGGGATAATTTCAGGAATTCATTGGTAAAAGGTTTATTAGCAATAATCAGCGTGGTTTTATGAAACATAGGTCATGTCAAACTAACCCAATTGAATTCTACGAATAAGTAAGTAGAAGTATAGATCAGGGCGTTGCAGTGGATGTGATCTACTTGGATTTTGCCAAGTCATTTGATACGGTTCCTCACAATAGGTTAGTCTTCAAACTAATAGAAATTGGTCTAGATCAGGCTTCCCCAAACTCCGGCCCTTCAGATGTTGCTGAATTACAACTCCCACGATTCTAAGCCGATCTATTTCTTTCATAGAATTATGAGAGTTGTAGTTCAGCAACATCTGGAGGGCCGGAGTTTGGGGAAGCCTGGTCTAGATGAATATTCTTGTTCTTGGGTAGAACACTGGCTTAAGGATAGAGTACAATGAGTTGTCATTAATGGTAAAATTTCAAGCTGGAATAAAAGTGGTAAGTGATGTCCCTCACGGTTCTGTTTTGGGACTGCTTCTATTTAACATATTTAGAAATGATCTTGCAATAGGCATTGAAAGCCATGTTTTAGTGTTTGCAGATGACACAAAACTTTGTAAAGTAATAAAATGTGAGCAGGATATTGCTTTGTTACAGAGGGATTTAGATAGATTGGGAGACTGGGTGTCAGGGTAGAAAGGGGTGTTGCCCTAAGACAGCAATATCCCTTGGAACCCAATGTGCAGAGAAAATCACAAGGAATGTGTACAAAAATATGTATATTACAAAATAAACAAATATGATACAAGATAACCCAACAAAATACAGTATTACTACAATGCCAGTATAAATTATAAGTAGACCTAGGTCTAGCACAGGAGGTGCAGGCAGAGTATCAGGGTACAGTCTTGTTAGGTTAAGTAGAGTACGCTGGACAGGACCAGGTAAGTATCATAGGAGATAGACAGGACTCAGGTCCAGAGCCACAGGATGTACAGTTAGAGCCAAAAGGATGCAAGGCCAGAATCACAGGATACAAGGCCACTGGATGCAAGGCCAGAGTCACCGGATACAAGACAAGAGTCACAGGATACAGGGCCAGAGTCACAGGATACAAAGCCACAGGATGCAGAGACTAAACTGCCACAGGAACAAAGAAACAATGATCTTGCACTGAGGGAAGGGTGAGGCCAGACTATAAAGGTGCCTAACAAGGGCCAGCTGAAGTGCTTTATGTTCCTAGAAGTGGGGAATAGCACCAAACAGGGAGAGTGGTGATCAGTAGTACTGCACAAGATGATATAACCTAAGGAGTGAACCAGGAACTGTGACACTGGGCACTAAAATGGCAGATTAAATTTAATGTAGAGAAATGCAAAGTTATGCACTTCGGGGTCAAGAATGCACAAGCAACTTACACTCTAAATGGTAGTGAATTAGGGATAACCACACACGAGAAGGATTTGGGAATTGTTATAGACAACAAATTAGGCAACAATATGCAATGTCCATGGCCAGATTAAC